AAGATAAGCACTAAGCTAAAGTCCATCGAAACTAGGCTTCTATTGGGACTAAGATTGGGTTAACTATAAAAGAAAGGCACCCCCATGGGTCTAAGATACGTAATTTATACTCTGAACAGTGAGTTAAGCACTTGATCTATCTTTGAGAGATAACTGGCTTGATCGTCGGAGTGCCCCCGGGTGGACGAACCACCGCCAGAATCTCTTCTTTCTGTTGCAGGTCAATTAGGCGCCATCTATTCTGTCAGTGCTCTCCAACTGAACACTGAGTTGGCAGTGTGGTTAGAAATTGACACACACAGTGTGTAAACATAGATTTAAGAAGTAGTTAAATCTAAGAGAATAAGTGGTCTTTTGGGAGGAAGATAAAAAAGTCAATTTTTTGGTTTTTTAACACTTTTACACAAAAAAGTAAAAAAAAATTAACTTCTTGTGGGTGTTTGGGAAGTATGTTTTTATGTATGTCTTTTTAGTTGTAGGATATTATTGGAGATTTTTTTTTTTGTGTTTAGGAAGATAGTTGAGTGTTTTTTGGTTGGATGTGATGTTTGTGAGAGAAAAAGTGAAATGATTATGAAGTTTGGTGTGATATTTTGTTTGGATTTATTTTTTTTGATTTTGCAAAAAAATTGTCTTTCAATGAAAAAAAATAATAAAAAAAAACCTAAAAAAAATTATTGCCAAACACTGCCTTTATCAACTTCTCAAAACATTTCTAAGTTTAGAGCAATTACTATAGTTAAAGGTATTTTGAAAAATAAAAGGGTAAATTACATTTACCTCTCCTGAGGTTTCTGACAAATACAGGGACCTCCTCTGTGATTTTAATAATTACAGAAACCTCCCCTACTTTATCTGACAATATCAAAATACTCCCATTTTTTGACTTCTGTTTACACAACTAATGGAAGTGGCTGATGTCATCAAAGATAAATGCCAAAATGTCCATAATGCCCTCAAATGCAACACTTAATCCAATCTCCTTAAGTGTTATCTCTTCCCTTTGCTTTCTCTGCACAAACAAAAAAATAAATAAATAAAAAAAAATTCATAATTAACAGTGCTGTAGAAGCAGCAACACAACACCCATAACATGGCCATCATTGTTATTAGCTTAACTACGCCACCAGTCAAACCCCAAGCTCTACTAGCTCTGCAACCCCCAAACCACCACTACCACTGCACACACTCACCACTGAAACACCTCCCAATTTTTTTTAAAAAAGAAAAGAAAAAAAGAAAGCACCAACACTACAAAGCTCTACAACCTCCAAAAACAAAAAACTGAATAGGTGAAGATGTAAATATTCATACTCAACTGAAGCCTTAATCCACAATTACTCAGTTGAGAAGTTGGATAGCCACCATCAATACCACCTCCCCAAAAAAATCAGTGCAAAATCAAACCCAATAGAAATCAAAATCAAACCGTAGCCATTATCTCCCAAAGAAAATAAGGTACTGGATTAGTGCAAAAATTGGGTCTCTCTGAAACCACCACCATTTCCAGCCTCCTCCTCTCTTTCTCTAGCCATTCGTCCATCTTCTCTCCTCATCTTTCTTCTCCTCCTCTTCTTCTTCTTCTTCTCCCGATTGCGACCTAGATCGCAACCAACCGCCACAACCTAGATTGCAACCCAGCGTTGCTGCCATCACTGCTTACCATCGCTCTAAAAACTATAGATCTAGGGTTAGGGCTTCAGAAGAGGAAGAGGAGGAGGAGAGGAAAAGTGAGCGGCGGTCGGTGGAGGAGAGGGAGTGGAGGAAGACTTGTGGGTAGATGGAGAAATAGAGGGAGTGTCCTCAACAAAGACCTTCATTTCGGTGTCAATGTCGAAAGAGAGGAGTGGCGGCGGAAGGGTTGCCATTGTCGGAGAAGTTGATGTCGGTCTTCCATAGGGGTCAGTTGTTGCCGGAGAGGTCTTCGGGAAGCCAGGCGGACTCTCAAGCTTTGTTCCACTCGTCGCCACCACTCTTGCCGGTGGTGGACAGTGGCGGGGGAGATGGTAGTCGTGGAGGAGGATGATGGTGGTGATGGGATTGAAAAGGGAGTTAAGAATACAGATATTGAAGCAAGATATACACTTCTGTGTAGATTAACATAGCAACCCAGAAGATGTAACTTGGACCAGTATTTGCACATAAAGCATACAAGAACAGAGAGAGAACAAAAAAAATCATTTTGTATATGGTGGGGTTAACAAAACTGACAAGATCAATGTGTATTTTCGTCTTTTTGCCGTCGAATAAAAGGGTAATATAGTCATTTTGTATAGGTAAGTAACATCGTTTGTGTAAAATTGACGGATTGGGGGAATCTTGATATTGTCAGATAAAGTAGGGGAGGTTTCTGTAATTATTAAAACCATAGGGGAGGTCCCTGTATTTGTCAGAAACCTCAGGGGAGGTAAATGTAATTTACCCAAAATAAAAACAAATTATGACAGTGAACACTAACCTATACTTTATATATCAGTACCAATAGATAATATAGATGCTACAATAGTAGGTGAGCGTTGTTTTCACTGCACATTATGTTGTGTTTGGTTGGGAGATTTGAGGTGAGATTTAGAAAAGGAAATGAAAAATATAGGTTAAATATAAATAAAACATGCCTAAATTTTACATAATTTCACACACTTTTTCCCTTTCCCTTTCTAAATTCCTCCTCAAATTCTTTAACCAAACACAATATTAATATGACTTGAATTATACACGAAGTTGGCAGTTTGAGTTAAATATTTTTTAACATGAATACAAATATAACATGACCTGATAAATTAGAATATTGTACATATATTATTAAATTATATTATAATGAGAGCTTTTTTGATAAATCTATTATCTAAGAGCTTTATTCCATCCAACCCATATTCTTTTTGACTATTCCATTAGGTCCAATTTGATATAAGAAGACCAAAATACCCTTTTCATCTACTTATATTCCATTTAGTTCACATTTTTTTCTTATGTTTCAATAAGTCCTATAGGTGACATAATTACCAAAATACCCTTAATGTGAATGTTCACACCGTCAATATAAATGTTTATATCGTCAATGTGTAGGGGCCCGGCTCATGTCGATCCTCGTGGGTGCCCGGAAAAATTCGAGTCGGGCCGGGCCGGCCCACAAGCCAAAAAAATAGGCTCGACCCGGCCCGTTGATAATATGAATATTCACATTGATAAGTTAACATTCACATTGATAGGAGTGTAAAATTGGCCTGCTGCCCGTGGGCGGCCCGAAACCAGCCCGTCGCCTGGGACGAGCCCGGGCCGGCCCGTTCACAATATGAATATTCACATTGACATATTAACATTAACATTAACATTGACAATAGTGTAAAATTGGCCCATGACCTGTGGGCAGCCCGAAGCCCGGGCCTGGGCTCGGGTCGGGGCGGGCCTGGCCCTGCCCGTTGACAATGTGAATATTCACATTGACATGTTAACATTCACATTGATAGGAGTATAAAATTAGCCCGCGGTCTGTGGCCGGCCCGAAACCCGCCTGCAGCTCGTGGGCTGCCCTGGGCGGGCCCGACCCGACCCGTTGATAATGCAAATATTCACATTGACATGTTAACATTCATATTGATAAGAGTATAAAATTAGCCCGCGCCCCGTGGCTGTCCGAAACTAGCCCACGGCCCGTGGGCGGCTCGGGGCGGGCCCGACCCGGCCTGTTGACAATGTGAATATTCACATTGGCATATTAACATTCACATTTATAAGAGTGTAAAATTGACTCGCGTTCCATGGACAGCCCGGGGCGAGCCCGGTCCGGCCCATTGACAATGTGAATATTCACATTGACATATTAGCATTCACATTGATAGGAGTGTAAAATTGGCCCGTGGCCCGTAGACGGCCCGAAGCCCGCCCGCTGCCCAGGGCAGGCCCGGCCCGGCTCGTTGATAATGTGAATATTCACATTGACATATTAACATTAACATTGATAAGAGTGTAAAATTAGCTCGCGACCCGTGGGCAGCTCGAAGCCCGGCCCCGGCCCGACGCGGGCCTGGCCCGATCCGTTGACAACATGAATATTCACATTGACATGTTAACATTCACATTGATAAGAGTGTAACATTAGACCGTGCTCCATGGCTGCCCGAAACACGCCCACGGCCCGTGGACAGCCCGAGGCGGGCCTGGCCCGGCCTGTTGACAATGCGAATATTCACATTGACATGTTAACATTTACATTGATAAGAGTGTAAAATTGACTCGCATCCCATGGGTGGCCCGAAGCCCGTGGGCGGCCTAGGGTGGCCCGGGTTTGGGTCCGGGCCTACCCCGGGCCGCGGGCGAGCTTCGGGCAGCAGACAAGTTTTACACTCCTATCAATGTTAATGTTAACATGTCAATGTGAATATTCACATTGTCACGGGTCGGGCCAAGCCCGCCTCGGGCTACGATCGGGCTTCAGGGCGCCCACGGACTGCGGGCCAATTTTACACTCCTATCAATGTGAATGTTAACATGTCAATGTGAATATTCACATTGCCAACGGGCTGGGCCCGCCTTGGCCTGAGGTCGGGCTTCGGGCTGCGCACGGGTCACGGGCCAATTGTACACTCTTATCAATGTGAATGTTAACATGTCAATGTGAATATTCACATTGTCAACAGGCCGGGTTGGGCCCGCCCCGGGCTGCCCACGGGCCGTGGGCTAGTTTCGGGCAGCCACGGGGCGCGGGCTAATTTTATACTCTTATCAATGTGAATGTTAACATGTCAATGTGAATATTCACATTATCATATTAGGATCCTCCCATGTGTGTACAACACAAATATGTGGTTCAAAGTTCAAGAAAAGATCTATTCAGATGACTCTTCCATCAATAGGACACAAACACTGTTGTCAGTGTTGTGAAACAACTAAAATATGAAACAACGTTATCGAATATTGCTAGTTCTCTAGACCTTTTCATCAGGTATATACAACATATTATAAGCTTGAGAGCTCAAGTTAAAACTATTAGATCACCAATTATCTCAAAAGTTTTAAGTCCATAGAAAATAAGTCCAACAATTATATCAAGTTGTCCAACACTCTCTCTCAACAATGTATATCAAGCTACCCAACATCATCCCTCATGTGTAACCTCATCTTGCACGTGAAAATGTGAAACATTCATACATGCAAAGAAGCAAAATGAAAATTGGAAACAAATGCAAAGGAAAAGACTTGAACCCAAGACCTCCAGAAAACCAAAGCTCTAATACCATGTTAGATCACCAATTGTCCCGAAACTGAAAGTTTAAGCTATTAGGAACAACGTATATCAAGTCAAGTGACAATAACATCAATAGAGAAAGAGAAAAATAATGTTGAAAGCATCAGGAGTCGTTTGTTTCTTACCACTCCCTATATCCACCATAAGTGGCAATGTCGAGTCCCTATATACTTCACTCCAGTCTGGAACTGGTGCCGGCACCTGGCCAAAATAAAGAAAACAAACATTTTGAGTGAGAAAAGCTCATAATGAACACATTAGATTTCTCATAAACAGAAATGCCCCAAAGAGAGATATTACCGAGAGTGACGCACAAAGAGGGTTCACATGTTGCCTAATTCGAACATGACCCAAGTCCTGCAACAAGCACATGCTCACCATTTAAGTGAACAATCAACCAAACCAACACAAAATTTCCATAAAGAATGAAGATATTTATCAAGATAAGGATGACTATGGAATGGAAATTTACCTTTCATGGTCAATGGTAGTGAAAAGCATACATAAAAAAAATAAAAAATAAAATAAAATAAAATCTTTATTTTAGATTCAAAACCGATTAAAGGAAGTTTTAAAACTTATAATGACATTATAGACCATTAATTTTGAATTATGATAATGTGTTGCAACTTATAAAATGAAATGGAGATCTCCACTCGGTAAATAAAATGGAGAGGATCAAAATCTAGACAAATTGCAGAGAGGATTATTCATTTGCAATCCTCACTACACAATTCCATTTACTTGCCATTGAAATCACACCCATCAAGAAAGACAACATGTGTGTGCAACTTTACCTTGGAAACTTTGTTTTCTATGAGGGCATGTCCAATCCTTTACCCAAACTCATACCAAAATAAGTTTTACTCAAATTTTTTACCCAAATCAATGGCAATAATTCTACACGTATTAACAATCTTACTAGAAATCTTACTGAAAATACAAGAGGCTAAATGTGATTGGTTGTCAAAAAAACCCATGATATTTAAACATCCAATAATATTTGAACATGTATGTTTTTAGTAAGATTGTTAGTAAGAATTTAAGTAGATGTAGGATTGCTCAATCAATGGAGACCCTTTTTTCACTCAAATTTGTAAAGACAATTAGGGGTGATTTGGCCATTGGAGTCCCCTATATCAAATAAAGGTTGTACCCAAATTTGAGTAAAAATATGAGTGAGGGTTGGAGATGGCCTAACTTGCATATATATTTTTTATTATTATTTTTTTTTTTTCAATTGGTAAAAGATTAATTACACATATGAAAAAATTAAATCAAAAAATGGACAATTAAAATCCAAAGCAATAGCTAGAATGTCAATAGTAACCAATCCCAAACTTGGAAAGAAATAAACAACTACATACAATCCATAATGGATAAAGAAATAAAAAAAGCAAACACCGCAAAGAGAACGAGTGAACAACTAGGCCAAAGCCCTCGTTAGCTTGCTAGGTTGGTCGTTTCCCTCATAAAATTGAAATTACAACTATGAATTAAAAACCCAGAAAAAAAGAAATCTATATGGATATAATTTATATATACCTGGGAAAAATTGTGAGAGAGATTGAGGTCGGAGTATTCTAAGGCGACGAGCTGGGGGCTTGTGAGTAGTTGTCCCTCTTCTTTACCAACAGAAACACCTACTACTCCTCCTCCGTTACTACTACTACTACTACTGCAAGGACAATGGCGATGAGGTTGAGGAACAATTGAGAGTTGAATGGAAAATGATTTGAGTTTTGGAGTGGGATTGTTGTTGAAGCGAGACGATAATAGTATTGAATACAACAAGGCCTCACGGGTCCTGGGCACGGCACAGATAAGCGACGCCATTTTTAAGCAAAATGCGTTATTTATGCAGCGACGCTTTCGTGTATGTATGTATGTGTTGGTTTTTTTTTTTTTTTTTTTTTTTTTTTGGCTTTCGAAGGTTACTTTCGTATGAGCATGTCAGGAAGGATCAATCAGTTCTTATAGAATTGTAATTGTCAAACAATTATTTAGACTATTGTGTTATGGTTCTTTCGACCTCAATAAAGAGGACTTTTACTGGTGACTTACTGGTAATTTGACTTCAGAAAACTTGAGCATAAGAACAGTTAAATAAACTGAAGTATTTCATTAATATGAAAAACTTACAATGATCTTAGATCCGTAGACAATTACAGCGGCAATATACTCGACAACTACTCCTACAAATGAAGTGCAGCGCAGAAACTTAAAATACAGGAATATAAAGGACAGGAAATAACACTGGAATATGTAAAGTGATTCTTTAGATTTTTCTTCGTCCTCTTCTCTGAAGTCCTTCCTGCTATTTATACTTTCCGAAGATAACCATCGAATTGTACTTCAAACCGTCGAACTGCTCCTCCGTAATCGCTGATCATGCTACCTTATAAGTAGCTCCACTACGCCTTCACTTGTAGTTAGGCTTCCCCCTTATATTCGAATTTGAATGTGAGCAACCGTTGAAGCCACGTCACTGTACGTCTCTTTGTTGATCTGCTTACTACTCAGATCTTATAATAACCAATATTAATTGCCACGTGTATGATCAGGATCGGAGACCTACCTGGTCTTCCCATATTACCCTCACTTCGCCACGCGTCGGATTGTCACTGGCTTAGTACAAAATGTGTAGCCAACAAAGCTATAAGCTAAAAGCTAAACCAAACACATTAAAATAACTTAAATTAAGCTGCAAGCTGAAATAAGCTGCTTTTAAGTTCTGCCAAACAGGCACTTTAACTTAAATCCTAAAAAGCTATTAAAATAATTTATTCCCAGCCCAACCCTAAAGCAAAGTAATATAATTTCTAGAAAATAAAATAATAAAAAATTAGAAAAATTACAAATCAGTGCAGAAAATTAAAAGAAATTACAAATATATAGGGGCGTAATTTTTTATGTGCACCAAAAATACAATAAAAGTTGCGTACCTTAGATTTTGGTAAATACTTTTCCCACTTTCTACTGTTTTGTAATTTCCCCAACATCTTTACCTTGCACACGGGAACTTTTATTTTCACACAATACAAAGTTACGAGAGATCTAAATCAATAAATTATTATTTTAAATTTAAAAACATTAAACAAATAAGATTTATAATTACGTGGCAGATATAAACCTGATTTTTGAATTTTAATTATATTTATAAAATAATGAAATGAAATGAGGGTTTTATTGGATACATGAATTGGAGAGATCTTTTTTATTTTTTTAAGGTGCTTATATTTGAATATAAATATTTTCGTTATGGAGTGAATATTTTAAAAATACAAAAATACTCTTATAAGTAAGGGTATTATTGACATATTTATTTATTTATTTATTTTTGGTTATAAATCAACTAGTTTTCAATTTTGAACCATCTTATGTATCATTAAATAAAAATGGATAAATATAAATTTAAAAATACTCAACAAAAAAAAAAATGATATCATGTAGCTGTTAATGGTGAATCAACTTAATATTTTTTTTTATAAATAATATATACACATATATATTAAAAACATTAATAGACATAATGAAAATAGAACTACAACGTGGTAGGCTCAAATTTTTTTTAAAAATAAAAAATAAAAAAATGTACAGTTACCCAAGGCCGGTCCTTTTCCTTTGAAAAAGAAGCTCATTGTCATTTCAGAGGTTGTTGGGACTAGTAGGTTCGAACCCGACAAAATGTTTTTTTGCTGTATGTGAGTGCGAAACAAAAATGTTATAAACTCAACCTTATTAATTCATATTTATCTTGAATATATTGGTATAGAAAAAGTTAAATTAATAAAATGGGAGGTTATGAGTAAAATAAATTTAAACTATTGATTTATTTTTTTTAGGTGAATTCTAAGGCAATGTTTGTCAGGCGAATTAAGTTGGATGAGATTTTTAGTGAGAGGATTATTAGTGAAGAGATTGTTAATGTGTGGATTGTTAGTGAGGGGATTAATTAAAAGTGTGTTTGTTTTAATGATAGTGTGGGAGGTGGTTAGTGATGAGATTGTTAAATTATTTTTATAGAAAATAAATAAATAAATTATTTCTATATTAAAAAAAACTAAAACAAATATTAAAATAAACAAGTACACTTGATCAAAAAAATAAAATAAAAAATAAATTTTTTATATAAAATAGATTCAATCCCCTCACTATATTCTTAATCCCACCCAAAATTCACCTAAGCTAATTCCCCTACTGAGGGGGATTAGCAAGCCACTTGAAGTAGCAATCCCCTCCACAAGGAAGCCACCAAACAAGAGTTAATGAGACCCACCTCCTTACTACTACAATCCCACCTCTTAATCTCTCAAGCAAACATGACCTAAGTTCATAAGTTTGAATTTTTAGTATTGTTTAATGCGAAAAGCTACTTGTCTAAAATATTTGGAAAAATTTCAACTGACTGTAAATTTTAAAAGATAATTACAGATAAGTGGTAAACGTTATGAATATTAACAATTAAAATTATAAAAAAAATTCATAAATCTGTAATAATTTTTTTAAGTTACCATTGAATGGTAATTTCTCAAAAAAATTATCTAAAATTTTATTTAAAAAGTTCGTGTGAATTCAATATTTATATTGTATGAGTCACACTTGAAATGAATCTCAATCATACAACTATTTTTGTAAGTAAATTCAATATTTGCTTGCCCCCCAAGAATATATTGATTGGACCATGCGTGAGATGAGCCTCACTCATAATGTGTTTTGTTAGAGCATCCGCATCAAACTAACTAAAGTCATTTTTTAGCTAATTTGATGATACTGTTCATAAAAAATAGGTCTCCATTAATCTCATTACAGTAGGTCGCTATACAGTAACTCGTTACAACTGTTTATCACTACAACATTAGTGTTACCGGATGCCCGGCCGAAAGTCCGGCCGGACATCCTGTCGGTCAACAGCCAAATTTTTTTTTTTTAAGAATTATTTGGTTGGTAGCTCATCAATTTAATAAAAAAAGAAAGAATAATAAACATAATAAGAAAATAATATTTTAATAAAATTAAGTTAGAATAGAGAGTTTGATAAATACTAAAGATGTGACTAACTAAAATAATGAAATAGCCTTTTTAGCTATAATTTAACTAAAAATTTGAAGAAGTTGATGCGGATGTTCTTAGAAAAATCATAATGGGTTTAGTACACCAATTGGAATAGTAGTCCACTACTTTGGGTGGATTAGCAAAGATGGGAGAGAGATGTGACTAAAAATTTGATGGTAAAAGGACCATTTTGTCTCTTAAGATTACTTTGAGAATTGACCATTTTAGTTGAGTTTTTCATTTTTTATATAGAGAGGGGAATATGATAATTTATAGTGACTTTTTAATTTTTTAGTATATAATAAAAGAAGGGTAATTATGTAATTTTGCAAGTTTAATCACAATCAATTAATATCCCACACTACTATACAAACAAATATATTTTATTTTATGTTTCTAACTCAATATCATTAGGGGTTGTTTGGGATGACTTAAATAAGTGTACTTTTTGTCTTTTTACGAAAAGATGTGCAGAAAAGTAGAGAGGTGATATGATGGAAAAAAGATAAAAAGATGAATTATTTTTAAATTGTCAAACTTGACCTAAATTATTAATTTTTTTACTTAATCTTATTGTACTCATAGGGGGTGTTTGGTGAGGCTTTTTTGAGCCAGCTTATTGCTTCTAGCTTTTAAAAAGTTATTTTAGACTGTTTGGCTAAATTTATTTCAAACAGTTTCTAATTTTAACAACTTATTTTAAGTCAAAAAAGCTGATTCTGAGACCTAAATCAATAAATTATTATTTTAAATTTAAAAACATTAAACAAATAAGATTTATAATTACGTGGCAGATATAAACCTGATTTTTGAATTTTAATTATATTTATAAAATAATGAAATGAAATGAGGGTTTTATTGGATACATGAATTGGAGAGATCTTTTTCATTTTTTTAAGGTGCTTATATTTGAACATAAATATTTTAGTTATGGAGTCAATATTTTAAAAATACAAAAATACTCTTATAAGTAAGGGTATTATTGACATTTTTTTATTTATTTATTTTTGGTTATAAATCAACTAGTTTTCAATTTTGAACCATCTTATGTATCATTAAATAAAAATGGATAAATATAAATTTAAAAATACTCAACAAAAAAAAATGATATCATGTAGTTGTTAATGTTGAATCAACTTAATATTTTTTTTTATAAATAATATATACACATATATATTAAAAACATTAATAGACATAATGAAAATAGAACTACTACGTGGTAGGCTCAAATTTTTTTTAAAAAAAAATAAAATAATAAATAAATGTACAGTTACCCAAGGCCGGTCCTTTTCCTTTGAAAAAGAAGCTCATCGTCATTTCAGAGGTTGTTGGGACTGGTAGGTTCGAACCCGACAAAATGTGTTTTTGCTATATGTGAGTGCGAAACAAAAATGCTATAAACTCAACCTTATTAATTCATATTTATCTTGAATATATTTGTTTAGTAAAAATTAAATTAATAAAGTGTGAGGCTATGAGTAAAATAAATTTAAACTATTGATTCATTTTTTTTTAGGTGAATTCTAAGGCAATGTTTGTTTGGCGAATAAGGTTGGATGAGATTTTTAGTGAGAGGATTATTAGTGAAGAGATTGTTAATGTGTAGATTGTTAGTGAGGGGATTAATTAAAAGTGTGTTTGTTTTAATGATAGTGTGGGAGGTGGTTAGTGATGAGATTGTTAAATTATTTTTATAGAAAATAAATAAATAAATTATTTCTATATTAAAAAAAACTAAAACAAATATTAAAATAAACAAGTACACTTGATCAAAAAAATAAAATAAAAAAATAAATTTTTTATATAAAATAAATTCAATCCCCTCAGTA